AAAAAAAAAAAAAAAGTTTTGGTGTAGTATCAAAGAATGATATCCAGAATTATGTAAAAAAGTTATAAGGGTGAGATTCTCTCTTCCAACTATGTATCTATTTCCAGGCTGGATTTTCTCCATATATAGTACTTCAAGCAAACCAACATGTAGAAACAGATTAAATGCAGAAGATTTTGAGAATCCAGCTGTCCCCTGTTAAGCCAGATATTAAAGAGATTTGCAGCAAGGCATGGAGGCTTACACCTATAATCCCAGCAACTGGGGAGGCTAAGGCTGGAGGATCCCCTTGAGCCCAGGAACTCTAGGCTGCGGTGAGCTATGATCATGCCACTACATTCTAGTCTGGATGACCCTAACAAAAAAAGAAAAAGATTTGCAAAGATGTAAAATCATTGTACATAAATAAGTAAATGTAAAAACTCTAATTTGGGAAGTGAAAATATAGTCACTTTTCATTTAGAGTGTTATGGTAACATGGTTAATGTGTAAAGGGCTTATTTTCTTTTCTTAAATTTTATTTATTTATTCTGAGACAGAGTCTCAAAGTTGTTGCCCTCAGTAGAGTTCCATGGCATCCCAGTTCACAGCAACCTCAAACTCTTGGGCTTAAGCGATTCCCTTGCCTCAATCTCCCAAGTAGCTGGGACTATAGGCACCTGCCACAACGCCTGGCTGTTTTTTAGAGACAAGGCCTTGTTCTGGCTCAGTCTGGTCTCGAACCTGTGAGCTCAGGCAATCCACCTGTCTCCACCTCTCGGAGTGCTAGGATTATAGGTATAAACCACCGCACCTGGGCTCGGCTTATTTTTATTTTTAACAAATTAATAAATATTTTAAAGCTTTCTCAGTTTCCATTTTAATATGGCAAATATTGCTAACTATAACCCACTTTGTCAAAAGCTCTTTGGGATCATCAATGATTTTTTTTTTCTTTTTTGAAATGGAGTCTCACTTAGTTACCCTCAAGAGAGTGCTGTGGTGTCATAGCTCACAGCAACCTCAAACTCAGAAGCTCAAGAGATCCTCTTGCCTCAGCCTCCCAAGTAGCCGGGACTACAGGAGCCTGTCACAGTGCCCAGCTAATTTTATTTTTAGTAAAGACAGGGGTCTTGCTCTTGCTTAGGCTGGTCTTGAACTCCTGAGGTCAAACAATCCAACTGCTTCAGTCTCCTAGAGTGCTAGTATTACAGGCATGTGCCATCATACCCAGTATAAATGTAAGGCATTCTAAAACCAAAAGATTTGACAGCCACTATGCTAGATCCACACCATTATTATTTGTGGACTTAGACACCGATGTATAACAAACTCACTTGACAAATGTTTATCAAGTGCCAAGTTTATGCTTGATGTTGTGCTAGGCATTGGGGATTCAGAATTAAAAACAACAGTCCATCTTCTGGAGGACTCACAGAGCAGTGGAGGGGACAACAGACACAAGGACAGTTGCAACAAGAGGGTAGGATGAGAGTGATAGGCGGTACCAAGAACATGTACGGATCAGGTGGAGGGGGTGGGCTGGGACATGGCCAGGGAAGGATTCCCAGAAAAGCTGACACCTGATCTGAGTCTTAAAGGCCACCAGGAAGCCTAGGGGAAGGGCATTTTAGGAAGAGGGAACAGAATGCATAAAACGGGGAAGCTTTGAGAAAAGTACAGTTATTTCCAGCTCTTGTACGTAGCTGAGCAAGAATGCAGCATGAAGTACAAGTCTGAGTATTGGGGGTGAGGTTGGGAATAAAAGGAGATGAGGTTAGAGAGGTAGGCAGGGGCCAAAACAAAGGCCCTTCTATACCATATTAAGAAATGTGGATATTTTCTAATCAAAAGGGGCAGGGAGTAGGGAGGCGCTTGAGAGTATTTTAAATCCTATGAGCATTTTTTTTTTTGAGACAGAGTCTTACTATGTCAACCTCGGTAGAGTGCTGTGGCGTCACAGCTCACAGCAACCTCCAGTTCTTGGGCTTAAGCGATTTTCTTGCCTCAGCCTCCCAACTAGGTGAGCTCACGACAACGTTCAGCTATTTTTGTTGTGGTAATTGTCCTTGTTGTTTGGCAGGCCCAGACTGGGTTCGAACCTGGCGGTGCCGGTGTACGTGGCTGGCTCCCTAGCAGCTGAGTTTTTTAAAAGGTCTTCGGCAGCAACATCGTGGGACGACTGAATGTATGAATGAGTTGGGGGGACCAGAATTAAGACCACAAAAAACCTAGACTAGGAGGTAACACAAGAAGCTGCCCAAGGCAAGCCCAGAGCTGACTGTGTGGAGGAACCTAACTTGTAGGAAGCAGAACTTCCAGGAGTAAGTGGATGTTAGAAGTGGAGATGTGAGAAATGGAGAGCGGGTACCACTTGATAACCCCAGGGGTGTAGCACAGGCTATTAGGTGGATGAAGTGTCTTTCACGGAGTTTGGGGAACTCTTCGAGGTCGGGTGAGGTTTTTCCACGTGTACCTAAGCAGATCTCAGCACATTTCCGCGCAGCCCAGGGATCCTACCCGGCCCAGCCCCACAGCAAACTCCAGGTCTCCCACCGCTCTGGGGCCCCCGGCAAACCGATCCCTCCCGGGTTCCTCAGTTGGGTCTCTCCTCCCCACCCCCTCCTCCCGGGTGGCTCTCCACTTCCTCTCCCCCTACCCCACCCCACCCCAATAGAAAATGAAAACAAACAGTCTCACGCCCCGCGTCTCAAGACTTTCCGACCCGAAGACCCGGCTTTTGCTGGCCTAGGTCGGAGGGGATCTCACCCCAGGATCCCGACGCCCGGCGGCTCAGTTCCCCTAGCCCCCGGCCTTCACCTCCCCAGCCTGGCCCCGCCTCTCCACGGGGAAACATCCCAAAAAAGGGCAGAAAAGAAAATTTGGCGTAACGTTGTCCCACTGGGGAAGAGAGGAGAGTCCGCTGGGAGAGGGAAGGAGAAGGGAGGGCGCGCGGGGGAAAGAGGGGAGGCGAAAGCTGGACCCAGCGGGGGAGCAGGCCGAAGGGGCGGGGGGTAAAGGGGGCGGAAAAGGACTTGGCGGGGGACAAGTGGGAGTAGGGGCAGGGAGAGCGCGCCCGGTCGTAACCTGCGTGGAAAATATGCGGGGCTACGTGGGGGCGGGGCAGGCGGGACGCGGAGCCGGGTCCCCAGCGGCCCCCGATCACAGAGGAGGGGCCTGGCTCTGGGTGCAGGGCCAGGGGCTGGGAGGGGAAGAGAGGTCAGGCCCGCTCTCGGGGACAGCAACCCGGGGCTCTGGGCTGTCCTCCTGCCTCAGTGTACCAAGCCCCCAGTGAGACTCCGCCATCACCACCACATCGGTAACGCAAACATAGAGCCTAGGACTCAGAGTAAACTGAGGCACTCGAACCGCAAAGAAGCTCCGCCTCCCAAGAGACATTTAATCCGGGGGGATTTACAGGAAACTTCTAAATTAAGGGCAGCGGCTGCTCCAGCTGAGGGGGGGGACTCGCCAGTCCCTACGCCAGTCCCTGCCCCAGGGCAGCTGCCGTGAGCTCACGCCCCGAAATAGCCTTAGGGGCCCCAGCCGCAGCTGCCACTGGGCCCGACTGTCAGTCACAAGCCCCCAGCCCAAGGATCCCCTCCCTTCTGTAGCACCAGAATTTTTCCAGCCGACGGTCGGCAGCTTTCCCCTCCGACGGCTGGCTAGGCAGATGGGGGTGGGGCCCCAAGAGGGGCGGGCCCAAAGGGGAGGGCACAGGGGGCGGCCGCGCCCCCCGGCCAGGCTGCGCTTCTGCCCCTACAAGGTTTGGGCAGAGGTGGGGGAGGGTCCTGGTACCCGGCTCCGCCCGGTCCCTCCCAGCCTTTTAGGCGCCCGCGGTTGGGACATCCCAGTCCCACTCGGTCCTCCTCACCCTCCACTCGTGCGCCTAGTCCCCGCAGCCAGCCCAGTTCTCACTGCCTGCCAGTCGGCCCACCCCCCACCGCAACCATGGACGCCATCAAGAAGAAGATGCAGATGCTAAAGTTGGACAAGGAGAATGCCATCGACCGCGCTGAGCAGGCCGAAGCAGACAAGAAGCAAGCTGAGGACCGCTGCAAGCAGGTGGGGCCATATGCCTAGTGCAGCCTCCTCTCCCCCACCGAGGTTGGGGTGGGCTTGTGCCCTCTGTCTCCCAGCCTTGGGCCTTCTCGTTAAGGCTCTCTCCCACCCAGTGTGAGATCTGGGCCTTCACAGTACTCTCGGACCCCTGGCCACAGCCACACTTCACATCTTACCCATCATAGCCTGGAGAGTCCCAGTCTCCTGCAACTTGAAGCTTCTCCTGTCCCCCAGCCAGGTCCCCCAACCCCCTTGACTGGGCTGTCTCTAATCTGTTATCCCCTTCTGTCCAGCAGCCTTCAAATATCTCTTGCTGCTCCCCTACACACACTCCTGCCTCCTCTCTGGGCCAGGGCCCCCACCCTGTCCCAGCTAACAAAGCCCCCTCTCTCTCAGCTGGAGGAGGAGCAGCAGGGCCTCCAGAAGAAGCTGAAGGGGACAGAGGATGAGGTGGAAAAGTATTCTGAATCTGTGAAGGATGCCCAGGAGAAACTGGAGCAAGCCGAGAAGAAGGCGACGGATGTGAGTGTGGACTTGGGGGAACCGTGGGAGGAGTTAGTATAATGGAGAGTGCCCCTCCTCCCCCCATGCATGGGAATCAGCAGAGAAAGACCTAGGACTGGTTTCCTTTCATTAATCAGGGCCAGAGCAAACTTACACAAGGAATTCAAGACAGTGGATAAATCAAAACCACCTACCACTTCCCCCAGAGGACTTAGCCTTCTAATCTGTTTGGGTCCAGCTTTTAAAATACATAGTGATCAAGCAATGAGTCATTGTAGGGTGGGTGGTATAAGAATTTGCCACCTCCCTCAGTTAATCTTGCAGCTGAAAATGGAGACTGCAGCTAGATTTGGGGGTGTGGAGATGAGGGTGTGAGGTACTGTTGAGCAGGAGAAGGAAAAAGATGGGGCCCAACTTGAGTTATGGCCCTAAGGGACCACTAGAAATTCCCTGGCCTTGATCTCTGGCTCCAATAGCACTGCTGTGCACTGGGGCCCCAGCTCAGGTTCTGCTGGCTCCTCATTTACCCTCATTAAGCTGTCAGCCTCAAGACCACACCAGGCCACAGGGCAGAGGGACAGGGCTATAAATGCCAAAGCAGCTACTTGGGCAGGGCCTGCTCACCCTGAACCCCAACCAGACTTCTCTACTTCCTACCATTCCCAACCCCCACCTTAAGAAGGGAGAATAGCCAAATGGCTTTGGATATGTTACTTTCACCATTCTCTGCCTCCATTTCCCCATCTGCCTTCCACCCATGATTATTTTAGGATGATCATATGGGGGGATTAGCATAAAGCATGATCCAAACATCAGAGATGACATTACTGTTTATCATTCTCCCTGTTCCCCAGCCCCCCAGGGTTGGGATTCTCTGACCTCCAGCCTCCAGTTTTGGTTCTCCACTGGCCTTGGCACTTGGAAGGGAACTGACCTGCAGCTGCTAGCAAAGACAACCATGGGCATCTGACACTCTATAAATAACCAAGGCCCAGTGCAGCTGGAGGCAGGACTGGAAACCCAAGGAGCTGGGTGGGGGGTGAAGAGGAGGGGGGCGGACAGAGCCAGAGCTGGGAAAGCAGAGCAGCAACAGTGCTAGCAGCAGATAGGAAAGACTGCCCAAACTTACCGTGTGACCTTGAACCCAGCACTTAAATTTACATGGTGCCTCAGTTTCTCCTTTCTCTCTTGCTTCCCATCTGTCCAGTGAGGACAGTAATCTCTGTCCTGTGCTTAGAGAATAGTATCCATAACTGGGAAGAGCTTGAGGAGCAGGAATTGGCAATATCAGTCCCATGACAAGGATCCCAGGACTCCCCAATCTTTGGGTCATTTGTTCCTCTACCACCATGAAGAGTTTTATTTTACAGAGTCTCATGCTTTTCTAGAGTAGTCCTCACTTTCCCCTAGAGTTATTCTTCCCAACCCCCAATGCTGTCCCCAGAATCCTTCCACACTGAGTCATTCGGCCCTGTGCCCATGATGGGCTCTTGTCACTCTAGGTGGCCAAGCTCCAGGTGCCTTTATCACCTGGAGGACAAACTAAGTCTACTTTCTATATATGGTGCTGTTTCTCCTGCCCTACCGTGCCACCCAGACCTGCTTTCCATACCCTCTGCCCCAGTGCTGCCACCCAGTTCCTTCTCCACTCACTTCTACCCCTACCCTGGTCATTTCTCTTTTCCAGTCTTAAATCTCAGGGTCTCTTTGTCTTTGTTTTTGAAGGAGAGACAGGAATACGCTAATGTTTATGGAGTGTGGACTTTGTGCAGGCAATATGCTTGGTACTTTCTGCATATTATTTTACTACTTCCAAAACTTGGCTCATGATCAGAATCATTTGGAAGCTTTTCAAAAGAGAGAGAGACTCCCAGGCACCCACCCTGGAGTTATCAATTCAGTGGATCTAACATGTTTGATTTTATGAGCCTCCAAAATGGTCCTGTTGATCAGTCGAGTATTAGAAGGACTGCATTATCTCAGAACACCCCTAAAAAGAAGAAACTGTTATTGCTTTCTTTCTTTCTTTCTTTCTTTTTTTTTTTTTTTTGAGACAGAGCCTCAAGCTATTTCCCTGAGTAGAGTGCCCTGGCATCACAGCTCACAGCAACCTCCAACTCCTGGGCTCAAGCGAGTCTCCTGCCTCCGCCTCCCAAGTAGCTGGGACCACAGGCGCCCGCCACAACGCTTGGCTATTTTTTTTTGGTTGCAGCCGTCATTGTTGTTGGTGGGCCTGGGTTGGATTCGAACCCATCACCTTAGGTGTATATGGCTGGCGCCTTAGCCACCTGAGCCACAGGCCCCAAACCAGAACTGTTATTGTTAATTCCAATTTATTAAGAAGGAAACTGAGGCTTAGAGAGGCTAAGTAAGTTGCCTACAGTCATGCAGTGGCTGAGAGTGGTGTCTCACAGACAGCATTCTGACACAGGCAATGCTCTGAACTCCAAACTGCTTTGCTTCTCTGATTTTACTTTATTGGTGCCCACCTTGCTCTGCCCTCTCATTTTCCCAGTGTATCATCAGTTTTGAGGCCTTTTTCCAAAACTTCCCATGGTTTTGCCCCCATATTGCAAGACCAGGGGCTGAGTATCCATCCCTCACACTGCGCCTGCATTGCCCCAGCTGTCTCCTGGCCTTGGCAGGAAGCCACTTGCTTATTCCAAGGATGGATGTCTCCTATAGGCCTGGCTTGCCTTCCTGGGAATTTGCCTGGCAGCTGGTGACATCACTGAGCTTGATTCTGTGATTGGCTATTTTTTTTTTTGAGACAGAGTTTTTAATTTGTCACCCTAGGTAGAGTGCCTTGCCTTCACAGCTCACAGCAACCTCAAACTCTTGGGCTTAAGTGATTCTCTTGCCTCAGCCTCCCAAGTAGCTGGGACTATAGGCGCCCACCACAATGCTTGGCTATTTTTTGTTGCAGTTGTCATTGTTGTTTAGCTGGCCCTAGCCGGGTTTCAACCTGCCAGCCTGAGTGTATGTGGCTGGAGCTGTAACCACTGTTCTACGGGCACCGATCCGTGATTGGCTATTCTTGGTGGCAGTCAAAACTGGTTGGCTTGAATCTTCCCCATCACCTCACTTGGGCCAAGCTTTGCTGTGACCGGGTCAGAGGTGCCTGAGAACATGGTCCCAGAACTTGGAGTGTTCTCACAGGGCACAGAGGACCTGTGTATAGATAACCATGCACAGTGCCAGAAGAGGCCCTATAGCAGGCAGAGGCCTGCTGGGGCTTGTCTAGAAATGCATGTTTTTGGCTGGAGCACAGTCTGGGCAGAAGATGGTTAATCAAGGAAAAAATAGGTTGAAAGTCTAGTAGCCAGGAAGCTGAGGTTCTTTCTGAGAAGTCTTGCCATCCTCTGGAGCCTCTCTGATTCTCATCCTTTTTGCCCTCTGACCCATAGGCTGAAGCAGAAGTGGCCTCATTGAACCGCCGCATTCAGCTGGTAGAGGAGGAGCTGGACCGGGCGCAGGAGCGCCTGGCCACAGCCCTACAAAAGCTAGAGGAGGCTGAGAAGGCAGCTGATGAAAGCGAGAGGTGGGCAGGGGTCCGGATGGGGGATGGCCAGGGAGCGTGGAAGAATTCTATCTCTTCTAGTCCTGAACGCATAATCATTCCTCTCCCTGCCTCTCAGAGGAATGAAGGTCATTGAAAACCGGGCCATGAAGGATGAGGAAAAGATGGAGCTACAGGAGATGCAGCTGAAGGAGGCCAAGCACATCGCCGAGGATTCAGACCGCAAATACGAAGAGGTGACAGCCCCGCTTCACTTCCTTTTCACTCCCAAGCCCCAAACACCCCCCAGTCATTCACCAATGATCCATTCTTTTTCTCTCCTACTTCCCCCCAGGTGGCCAGGAAACTAGTGATCCTGGAAGGAGAGCTGGAGCGCTCAGAAGAGAGAGCTGAGGTGGCTGAGAGGTAGAGATACCCTGGGGTAACAAGTGAATCTCTGCCTGAGCCAGTCCCTGTGGGGCCTTTTGCACAGTGGGGAGGCAGTATCCCAGGCTTGGGGACACAGGGACACTTGTCTTGTCCTCTGACCCCCAACTGCTGCCCCCAGCCGAGCCAGGCAGCTGGAGGAGGAACTTCGAACCATGGACCAGGCCCTCAAGTCCCTGATGGCCTCAGAGGAGGAGGTAGTGACCTCTCTGGACGTTTCTAGGCAATGGTGCCTTCTCTTGGCTCACCTTTTCTTCCATCTCAGCATCCCAGGCTGCTCTCTCTCACCTGAGGGTCAGGAAGGGCCTGGGGCTTCCAAACTCTGCCTGCTGTCACTCTTACAACCTTGCTCTTCTCTTCTCTCCTCCACCCCTCCCCCACTGTGTCATTTCCACTGTCTGGCCTCACTGTGCCCCCACACCCTGCCCCACCACACACCCCCTGCAGTAAATGTGGGGACCTAGAGGAGGAGCTGAAAATTGTTACCAACAACTTGAAATCCCTGGAAGCCCAAGCAGACAAGGTAGAGGGGGACAGAAGGGCAGTGAGGATGGGGTCCTTCAGGGAAAGGGGTGAAGAGCCCATGCAGGAAGGGGTGGGGTGTTCAATGGAGGCAAAATCGTGAGGAATCTGTGGGGTTAGTAAAGAAAGGAAGGATTTGTGGAGGCAATGTACTTACTGATGGCATGTGTCTGTTCCTAAAAGTATTCCACCAAAGAAGATAAATATGAAGAGGAGATCAAACTGCTGGAGGAGAAGCTGAAGGAGGTGAGAGTTCTCTTCTAGCACCCAGTCTTCCTTCAAGCCACCCTCATCTGCACCAGAGACTGCTGGTGGCAGGGAGTGTGGGGATAGGGATGGGAGAGAAAATTGACCAGTGATCTCAAGGAAGGCCTAATTTTTTGCCATTTCTCTCATCCTGCCTTTATTCCCAGGCTGAGACTCGAGCAGAATTTGCTGAAAGGTCTGTGGCAAAGCTGGAGAAAACCATTGATGACCTAGAAGGTAAAAGAGATACTCCTTAATACACCCAAACGTTGTTAAGTAGGTCCACTTCCCCATGACTATCTGCCCCTTCTCGCCCCATTCTATTTGCCACCAATAAACTAGAATTGGACCACCTAGGACTCCACAGACTCCAGGGGGATATGACTACAGTTCAAATTCAAGTAATTGTAGCTGGCCACTCACATCAGCTCTAGTATTTCTCAAGCTCTCAGCTCTTGAATGCATGTGAATTATCTGGAGAGTTTTTCAAATACAAATTCCTGAATCTTTCTCCAAAGTGATGGCTGACTTTGGGTTGGAGAATTTGTATTTCTATCCAGCTCTTTGGTAAAGCTGTTGGTCCTCAGACCACACTCTGAGAAGCACTAATTTAGATAACCTTATCTCCAAGTGTAGCACAATAGAGTAACATTATAGAACCTTTATAAAATAGAGAACTATTTGATTTAACATCTAGGTTTGCATGACAACATCAGTGGAAAATACTATTTTAAGCTACATTTGATGAAAACGATCATCCAGATATTTAAGTCTGTGGCTATTTCCATTATTAACAGTGTTGAGACGAAAGGTGCCTTTCTGTGCCTATCTATTCTATGACAAACCTTTAACATTCCCACTTCTCTTGCTTCCAGCCTTCTCAGGCAAGCGTCAATTTTATCTCCAACTTTAAGATGGTAGCCCTCTTGGGCTTCAGCACCCTATCTCTGCTCATTAAGCAAACACTCCTGCTTGTCTAGAGCACAGTGCCCTGGGTCCCTGGGGAGGCAGAAGCTCCTGGGGAGAGGACCAATTTGGGGTACAAAGAAGGATAAATTAGAGAGTTGGAATGAGGAAACTCAGATGGCTGTCCAGCCTGTTCTCTGGCCTGTCTCTCTCATTCTTTCTGTCTACCACTCTCTGATCTTTTCCCCTCCTTCCATTTTCCCTCCCTCCTTCCTTCCTTTCTCTTTCCCTCCATTTCCTCTCCCTACACTCCCACCTGGTCCCCCTTCCCTGGACTCCCCAGATGAAGTCTATGCCCAGAAGATGAAGTACAAGGCCATCAGTGAGGAGCTGGACAACGCACTCAATGACATCACCTCTCTCTGAGCTGCACACCAGTGTAGCCACCCCCGCCCTTTTTCTCCTCTCCTTTCCATTCTCTCTGTGGGTAAGGGGAGGCAGGAGGAACAAAAATTACCAACATTGCACAGCCGGGCTGGGAGCAACCGAGGGAGAGCTCCCATCATACGCACTGCCCACTCTGGCACTGGCTTCATCCTTCTACCTACCACATCCTCCACCCCTCTTTGCTGCCTAATAAATTCTGAACTTGGCCTCCACGCTGTTTTCCTGCCCTCCAGAGAGCACTTCCATCACCACCATAAAGCACTGGTTCACTCCTGTATACCCTGGCTGTTAACCAACACCCCCATCTTGTGACATAGCCTCCACACTGAAACCCCTCTGCATAGCATTCCTGGTCTGTCATACTCTGACTCTCACTGCTGCATGTGGGCAGTGTGACCCCCCACACACAAACCCCGTGCCCATTGCTGACCCTGGAACACTTAGCTGGGCATCCAGAATCAAGCAGAAGGATTGAAAGGGAAATGGGGTATTGAGGTACCGGGGGCCTGGAATGAAGTCTGGAAAACCGTTGGATGTCAGCAACATGGGGCTTTCACTGCAGCTGCAGGTCTGTTTTCTGCCTCAAGTCTGTCTGTCTGGCCCTTCCTTTCCTGGCTCAGTCTTTGTCTTTCCTTCTGTTTCCCACTTTCTCAAACCTTCTAAAGAAAGAGTGTAAATTAGTTGATGACTCAGGCCCCCCATCCCTGAGACATTGAATGAGGCATTTGTGTCCTGTTCCCTTCATCTTGGTCAGTCCATCATGTGCCCATGAGATCCTTAGATCCCTGAATGCCATGTCCTGTGTTTCCTAACCTACTCTGTATCTATGTGTCAATTTCCCCTGTCCATGTCACCCCATGACTCCCCTCCCCCTCCTTACCTGCTGCTTCCCCTCACAGAGACCTTGGCCAGTGCCAAGGAGGAGAACGTGGAGATTCACCAGACCCTGGACCAGACCCTGCTGGAACTCAACAACCTGTGAGGGCTGGCTACAGTTACCGCCCCAACCCAATAAAATTGATGTTACTGGTATCACGGGGCCCTGTAAGCCTTTCTTTGTTGCTGGTGATGGAGTTAAAAGGACCCCTGAATGAGCAGCACCTGGGTCTTTGCTCTGTGATGGGATGTCCTTTTCAGTGGCAGCTGTGGGGTAAAAGCACAGGGCTCCCTGAGGAGGGACTGTGGACAGGCTTTGTGAAGCAGACAAGACCAACAGGGCTGGGGGGACATCCTGGCACTAACTCCCTGGAAGGCAAAGGAGCTGCCATCCGCTGCACTGCCTTATTCCGGTGCATGCTGAAGGCAAAAGTAGAAGATGTGATACAGGTTTTCCTTGAGCAGGGTGAAAACTCAGAAGCCTCTGTATGGTTTTAAGTCTACAGGCTGTAGTCTTCCCCACTCCCAACACATACACATATGCACACATCTGCACACACAAAGGGACATTGCAACAATTTCAGTCATTTCTTTCCCCTTCCTGATAACATTTGTGTTAAACAGAATGATACCCCTCCAAAAATGTCCACATTCTAATCCTGTGAAATGTTATCTTACATGGGAAAAGGACTTTGTGATTAAGCAAAACTTTGCGGTAGGGAGATTATCCTGGGTTATCTGGGTAGGCCCAGTCTGGTCACAATCATTCTTATAAGAGGGAGGCAAGGGCTCGGCGCCTGTGGCTCAAGCAGCTAAGGCGCCAGCCACATACACCTAAGGTGGCAGGTTCAAATCCCCAGCCCGGGCCCGCCAAACAACAATGATGGCTGCAACCAAAAAATGGCCGGGCATTGTGGCGGTCGCCTGTAGCCCCAGCTACTTGGGAGGCTGAGGCAGGAGACTCACTTGAGCCCAGGAGTTGGAGGTTGCTGTGAGCTGTGATGCCATGGCACTCTACCCAGGGGGATAGCTTGAGGCTCTGTCAAAAAAAAAAAAAAAAAAGAGGGAGGCAAGAAGGTGAAAGGCAGTAAGTAGTAGGGGATGTGACAATGAGAGCAAGAGGCTGGAGTGATGCATGGAAGGAGTCAGGAACCAAGGAATGCATGTGGCTTCTAGAATCTGAAAAAGGCAAGGAAAGTTGCTAGTCTCAGAGCATCTACAGGAAACCAGCCCTACCAACATAACTTTAGCCCATAAGATTTATTTTGGACTTCAGAACCTCCACAACTAGAAGAAAATAAATTTGTATCACCACTAAATTGGTGGTAATCAGAGCAGCAATAGAAAGTTCATATACCATCCTTCTGATCTGAGGAACAAAAGCGATTTCCACATACTTTATCAGAAATATTTATTTTAAAAAATTCTTTGGAGGTTGAAAAGGAAGTGGTATAATGGGCAGGGCAGGACAAAGTTTCCAGCTCCCCCTCAGATTTCTCTAGCCGGCTTGTCTGCACATTCTCCAAGTTCAGGCACCAGTCTCAGCGACCTCTGCTGGGTGGTAGCTAACAATTGCTTTGGTCCCACTTCTGTGTGTACATGAGGGAAGCTTAATCAGAAAACTGGCCCAGGATGAGCTCACGTGTGTGCAATGTGCACGAAACTTGGTGTTCTGGACTCCACAGGGGTTGGGGGTCGTGCTTGAGGGAGGAGTCAGTATAATACCTGTGCTGCCTTCTCATCTGCACAAAGAGGGTGATGCTGGTGACAGCAAAGAGGAGGCCAAAAACCAGGGCCAGGATGTCACCTGGGAGAGAGAAAGGAGAAGGCTACTTCCGGGAGAGAAGGGTCCATGGGTCCCCCAATCCCTGTCCTGAGTTCTCAGGTAGCCCCCAATGTCTCAGTCTCTAGAAGAGGACAGCTGAGGGATGGGGTGGATACACAGGAATGGGTAAGATATGCACCATTTTTCCTTCCTGAAAGCTAAGTAAAAGTGCTGTTTGGGAAAAGGAATGCTAAGAGATTTCTGGACCTTCATTCTGATCAGCTAAGCCTTGGGGACAATGGGGGTGTCCCCCACCCCCATCATCGGACTCAGAATCATACTGGGGTTTGGGTTTGTTCTGCGGCAAAGGAGAGGGAATAGAGATGGCCCTGACTATCCCCTGGGAGGGGTGTCTCCCAGTAAAAGGGCAGGAAGAAGGGCACAGACTCACCAGCAGCAAAGCAGGAATTTAGGTGGACTGCACAGAAAAAGAAGACAGAGCCACACTGTGATCACCAGTGAAGACACTTGGGAGAGTGAGAGGACACCAGACAAAGCAGTACCTGGCTCAATGGTCTGAGGACTACTGTCCACTTGAGCAGGGAAAGAGGCCTCAATCACTCGTCCATTCAAAGGCTGTGTCGCTCGGAAATTCATCTGTAGTCGGGAGTCACTGGGTCCCCATAGGGAGCCAGAGAGCATGTGGAGCTGGGAAAGGGGTTGGGGGGGAATCAAGGCATGAAAGGAAACAAGGGTCCAAGGCCTTCTCAAAGCCAGCACCTCAGGCCACCACCCTCTATCTCCCATACCCCCTACACCCACCCCCTTGATTTCTTCATTCTCCTCACCTCATCCTGCATCCCCTCTGCCCCACAACCCCCTGTCAACACCACCCCCAAACCCACCTGCTTAGCACTGAGCTTCACTGTCTGGTTGAACACAGTCCAGATGACCCCCTGAGCACAGGGAGGTGTGGTCAGAGACCCCTCATATCGGAAGTAGCGGCTGAGGTCAGAGGGTAGCAGTGCAGATATGTCCAGTCCTGGGACCCAAGTCTCTGAGCCTGTGGAGAGGACCTGTGTTGGGGTCTCACCTACATTGTGCCCCTAGAAGCTTCTAGGTATAGGGATATAGTTTCACCTCCCAGGACCAAGTTAACTCAAGTCCCTGAGACACTTCTTCACTAAGTGTGTCCCTTCCCATACATAAGATGTAACTCAAAAGAAAGCAAAGAACTTTGAGGCCAAAGTCCTCTCCCTGTGTCTTCACTCTTCCTGCATACTGCCACAAGAGGCTGGACCAGAGATTTAAGTCCAGAGTGAATTAAAAAGGGTAAATGAGTGACATAACTTATAAATAAATGTGAATATTTAATAAACAGACGTAAGAATTCCAAAGTTCTTTTAGTTTAATAAAACAGACACAAGAATTCCAAAGTTCTTTTAGTTTAACAAAAACCTAAAGGTCTAGTAAAGTTAGTGAGGTATAAAATGACCTAGAGGGACTGAGAAGGTAAAGATTTCCAATAAAAATATTTACAAAGTCAAACTATTTGCTGCTTATAAAATAGAAGTAGACAGTTCTCAGAAGGTTTAGCTCTTCGGACTTAACCTCAAAAATCCCAGATAGTTTTTAATCTTTTCTTTGGTTTTTGTTTGGTCTTTAACCATAAAGCCTGCTGTGGCCCAGCCTGCCTGGGCCCTTTTGGCTCTGTCAGCTTTGCAGTCATTATCATAAGGAAAGCCAAAAAACACTTCAACTCTCCCACATGGGAGGGAGCCCACTTCCAGTCTCAGGCTCCCCAGGGCAATTCTCTATGAACCAGGGCATCAAGGATGGGGGCCAGACCAATAAACTGACCTTCTTCAGCGATTTCTTCCAAATGTGACAGCAACTGCTCATAGGCACTATTTTCTTCTGGCCCCTCCTGAGGGATGACAGTGTAAAACAGATCAATACCAGGGAGGTTGGAACGTCCTAGAATTTCCCTAGTCCTCTCTCATTCCTCAGCTCTGAGAATGCTAGGGGAACATAAAATCTCATGTATCATTACTCAAAGTCTATTTACTCTTGCTGTGCAAACTAATACGCTTAGGGAACTGATTTTCTACAGCCAGCTGGAGGGGAGAAGGAGAGAGAGGGGACACTTTACTAGGATACTAGGTCCTCAATGACCTGGGCCTGACTAACATTATACAGTCTTGTTCACTGTTACCTCCACACACTCCATGATCTCTATCAGAAAACCATGATACACCTTTATATTCATGTTACTTCTGCACTCACCTTAATAATACATGTGTTTGACTTTTGGAATGAGATCCTGACATACTATTTCTGAGGCACTGCTCTCAAACTTTGTGTTGTGTGGTTGGCGCTAAGCCTGGCAGTGATCCTGGAAGGAATCTCACCACCCCTTCATTTTACTGGCCTCCTCTAATCATTGAGTGTGTAGCCTTGATTATTAAGGCCCAAAGAGGTCACTATATACTGCATTTTACAAAGAGAAAATGATGGATCATTGGAGAATTAGAGAATTACTCTTTCTGATGTCCAGACTACTGCATCTGCCATTCCCCAAATAGGTCATATTTTGAGTCTTTGCACACACTGTTCCCTCCATGTGGCACACTTCCTTTACTTTTCTTTCTTTCTTTCTTTCTTTTTTTTTTTGACACAGCAGCTCATTCTGTTGCCTCATGCTAGAGTGTGGAAGCCTCAGCCAGCTCACAGCAATCTCAAAAGCCTGGGCTGGAGAGATCCTCCTGTCTCAGTCTCCAGAGCAGCTGAGACTATGGGCCCCCCTGCACAACAGCCCAGCTAGTTTTCCATTTTTTGGAAGAGACATAGTCTTGCTCTTGTTCAGGCTGGTCTTGAACTCCTGGATTCAAGGGATCCTCCCTCCTCCGCCAGGCAGAGTGCTAGGATTACAGGTGTGAACCACCAGATGCGGCCTAAACACTTCCTTTTCCTCCTCACTAGAGAAGGAGTTGCACCTCCTCTCTCACCACCATTTTTACTCCACGTCGTTTTATAGGGCATGTTATGTTAGCCTCCCCTACTGGCTGTGGACTCCTTAAAGGCAGGAACCTAGGCCTTTGAATCCTTGTTGTAGCCAAATGCCTGGTTCACGGTGGGTTTTGAATAAATAAACTAGTAAGTGAATGAAGATGATAGCCTGGGCACCAGGGTGAGCATGGATGGGGGTAAGATACGGTGAGACCGCTGAGTCCAGGAGCGTGGAGAAGCAGGGAGTTGGGGTCGGAGTCCAGAGTCTGGTACCTGCAGAAAGGAGGCCAACACGGCCAGGCCTCCCGGGCGCCCCAAGGCCTCGTCAACTTTGGTAAATGCGGTGCTGAGATGAACCACATGGATCTGGAAAGGACCCATAGGTAGGAGCGGGCCAGATCTCCGGCCCCGCCCCTCCCCTGTGCCCTACTCAGCTCAGTGCTCACCTCGGCAGGGAAGCGGTGGCCATCAACGGTGTGCTCTGAGCCTGGGCGCCCTGGAGCCCCCCAGTGCAGATGCAGCTGCAGGGCCCTGTATTCCTGCCCAGGACCCAGGGCCATCTGTACCCCGGGAGGCAGAGTCAACTGCACTGGGTGAGGAGAGGCAGGTGAGTCACGCCCCGCCGCGCCCGCCCCGTAGGGCACCGAATCCCCAGGCACCACCTCGCCCGTCGCACTCCGGAGGCTGCGCCCCATCCCGGGTAGCTCGCCGCTTCCCTGAGCTTCTGCGGAGCACCCCTCACCAGTATGGCCATTGTTGCGCAGGCGCAGTTCTGGGAGTGGCGGGAGCTCAAAACCCAGGAGTTCCAGGGGTCGCAGGGCGGGGCACGGCGCGGCGAGCTCGGGGCGAATATCTACCGGGGACTGAAAGCGGCCTGCGCAGGCTGGGGACACCTGCGGCCAGGGCGGGTCTCCTGGGGTGAGAGAGTGTGGTGAGGAAGTCTGATAACTAGATCAGGAACTTTTAGGGAACCCGGGTTAAAAAAAAAAAAAAAAAGTGATGGGGTGGAGTCAGGAGGCTTCAGGGCGGGAAATAGAAATCAGGGATGTGGGCGGGGACAGGCAGTGGGCTTTGGCGGAGACGCTCAGAACCCCAATTAGGAGATGGTTGGGCAGATCAGCAGAGCTGGGTTCCGAGGCTGGGTCTGTGTAGGGCGTGGGTGTCTCACCTCCATAGCGCCAATGACTGTGGTCATCGCCTGCGTAAGTAAGATGAACAGGCGGATCTCAGAGCCCAGTCCCTTTCCTGGGACAGGAATGGGTAGGAACCTCTTAGAGACAGGTTTGCAAACTCAGATGCCTTACAGGGCACAGAAGGTAACATACGTGAAGCTGGCCAGGTGTAACGCACAACAGACTCTAACCAAAGTTACACCACACCTGGTTAGGCCACACAGCACACCTCGAAGTTTGCAGCCACTGTCTCAGGGTCTATAAAGTGAGTGGGCACCTCAGTCCACAGCCCAAATCAATAGACCATCTTTCCTTTCTCCCTCACTCCTCTTTCCTCCCTGCTGATCCCTTTGCCCTGTCTAGTCCCGACTCCTTTCTCAAAGTTCCTGGCTTGGGAGTCCAGATGCCAGGTCCCTCTACCTGCTGTCTCCTTTTTATGTCTCATTTTCCTCATTGCACAGGAATGAACCTACAAGTTCTTCCAGATCGTCCTCTGGTACCCTCTCCACTGCCCAGTCTTTCCTCTCTTCCCTTCACACTCCTTCTTCCCTCTCTCCACCTATTTTTTCTCTTTCTCCCTTTTTCTTTTTTCCCATCTCTTAAGGCCCATTTTCTCTCACATCTATCCCCTTCTAGCTCTGAGGGTAGTGGTTTGGGAGTTCCTGAGAAGGGCTGCTGTCAGAGTACAGGCTCTTCTCCTTCCCTGGATGGTCACTGCCTGAGCCAGGGCATGGGGAAGGGAGGCATGAACCTCCTGGGGCCTAGATTTGGAGGCAGATGGCCACTTACCTTTCTTGTCCCTGTGGGCATTATTCTGGGGGTCTTGAGTATCTCTGGGAGCCTCAATAGTAGGTAGATCCTCTAACTTCAGGGAGTCTTCTTCTCCTGGTTCAGGCTTAACTTCATGTGGATCTTCTTCTCCAAGTGGATCTTCTTCTCCAAGTGGATCCTCCTCTCCAGGGGGATCCTCTTCACTGGGCAGATCTTCCTCACCTAGTGGGTCATCTTCCCCAGACGAACCTCCTCCAATGGGGGGATCCCCTTGCATCTGGAGCATGCTCTGGGGACGGACAGGCACCAGGAGCAGCAGTGACAGCAGCAATTGCACAGTAAGGCCTGGGGCAGGGGCGGGAATCAGCAGAGGGAGCCAGGGGCTGGGGCACAGGGGAGCCATGTGGCTGACTGCGGGGTGTCCCAGCATACCGTGTGGACGGGTAGTACGTGCATTGGAAACAGGAGCCTGGTGGGGGAGGAGCAAGCCTGGAGGGGAGCAGGCTGACTCACAGAGTGCACTTTTGTAGAGATGGAGCCAAAGTCCCACAGGTCTGTCTGGCCCTGTGCCCCCTCCCCATACAAAGCCTAAATCGGGGTGGAGTGAGGGGCAGGTGTGTGCACAGGTAGAAAGTTATCGGGGGTCATGGGTTCAGCTTGGAACCCAAGGCACCACCTGGCACAGTGCAGGTTCTCCCTGGCACTGCCAGGTTGCTTGCCAGCTAGCCTAAGCTAAGCCTGGCCTGCTTCCCAGTCCCTGGAAGAGAAGGAGAAAGACAGAGGAGCTGGGCCCCTGTATCCTCAAGTGAGAGGGAAAGCAGCCCATATACACACATGCCTGGTCCAGCCAGGGAGCAGATAAAGGGGTAGGATAAGCTGCTAGGGAAGCTGAGGGTGAGTTAGGTAGATGAGTAGGTAGAAGGCAAATTTGAGCTTGAATAAAAAACTGAGTACATGTATGATAAGAACTCTGCTGGATTTTACCTAAATGTGTATTTTGTCATAATACTCCCCTGCTCAAAAACTTCATTGGCTCCCCACTACCCACTGCTTACCAAAGTATGCACATTTTGTCCTTCTGGCTTCCAAGTCCTTTCTAAAACTTACCCAAGAGACCTTTCCATCTTATCTCTGAGTCTCCCTCATAGTCCAGCCAAATTAAACTATTTGTTTGTTCTCCAAACCTTTTACCATCTTTGTTAATCTAGTTCTTACTCCCTGGAATGCCATTCACTCTTGCATTCAAACAAATATTTGTTTAGTACCTACATTTATCAGGCACTGGGCTATGGACTAGGGGTATAGAAAAGAATAAGAGGGCCGGTGCAATGGCTCATGCCTGTAATCCCAGCACTCCGGGAGGCCAAGGTGGGTAGATTGCTTGAGCTGAGGTGTTCGAGACCAGCCTAAGTAAAAGTGAGACCCTGTCTCTAAAAATAGCCGGGCATCGTGGTGGGCACCTATAGTCCCACCTACCTGGGAGGCTAAGGCAGGAGGATCTCCTGTGCCCAAGAGTCTGAGGTTGCTGTGAGCTATGATGCCCTGGCACTCTACTGAGGGTGACAAAGGCCCTTTTTCTGTCTCAAAAAAGAAAAAAAAAGGCGGGGGGGGGGAAATAAGGCCCAGTCCCAGCCCGAGGAGCTCACAGTCTAGTGGGTAAGTGCAGACATTATCATGATACTGAGAGTAAAGAGATTAATTCTGGCTCAGAAGGCAATACAGAAGTAGGCTAAATTTAATCATGGCCTGGAAGAAGAATCCAGTTGGTAAAATGAATAGGGAGAATGAAGGATATTCTGAGCAAAGAGGAGACATGAAATATTTTGACCAGGGCTCGGCGCCTATAGCTCAACCGGCTAAGGCGCCAGCCACGTACACCTAAGGTGGCGGGTTCGAATCCCCAGCCC